CGTGTGCGTGTGCGTGTGTGTATGCGTGTGTGTGTGCGTGTGCGTGTGAATGTGTGTGCGTGTGTGTGTGTGTGTGCGTGCGCATGCGCGTGCGCGTGCGCATGCGCGTGCGGGTGCGCGTGCGCGTGGGCGTGTGCGTGTGCGTGTGCGTGTGCATGTGCGCATGCGTGTGCGTGTGCGTGTGCATGTGCGTGGGCGTGTGCGTGGGCGTGTGCGTGGGCGTCGCCTGCGCGTGCGCGTGCGCGTGCGCGGGCGCATTGGCGTGCGCGTGGGCGGGCGTGCGTGTGAGTGCGTGCGTGCATGCGTGCGCGCGTGTGCGTGTGCGTGTGCGTGTGCGTGTGCGTGTGCGTGTGTGTGTGTGTGAGAGTGTGTGAGTGTGTGCGTGTGTGCGTGAGTGTGCATGTGTGTGCGTGCATGTGTGTGTGCGTGTGTCATTGGGTGTTCCTCGAGATGGGGCGGTGGGGGGCCCAAACCCAAGCCCACCTGCCGCGGCCATCGCACCTGCGAAGGGACAATCTTGCATGTGGGCGATTCTTGGACAACTCGGAATAACATTGCCCCTGACGACGTGGCGGCGGGGGGGCCTCGGCGAGCGTGCCGGTGGCGAAGAAGGCCGCGTGCACCGCGAGCAACAACCTCTCCGGCACGGACGCGCCCAAGGGGGCTCTGCGCCTCAACCCTCACGGGCCGGAGGAGTCCGGGAGGTCGAGGAGAAGGAGGAATAGAGCGAGGAAAAGCAGAAGGTCGGGGAGGAGGTCAAGGAGGAGAGCAAGGGGGAGGGAGAGGAGGAGGTCGAGGAGGAGGTCGAGGTGTTGCTTGCTGTTTGCACATCGACTGAAAAAGGAAAAAATGCGCACAGTCTTCTGATAAGCGGCACGGACGCTTGCTGTTGCATTCCATCCAGCACGCCCTTTTTTATATGGTCGGGACGACTGTGTTCGAGGCTCTGCTGCCCTTCTCTCGGCAACAAGCTCTCACGCTTCGTTACACTTCACCAGTTCTGCAACGTAAGAGTGGGGGTGACTGGAAGATCTCCTACCTCAGAGTCTGCTGTGTCGACCTGTCGTTGGTTCGCAACATGTGCGGGCCCTCCACTGTGGGGGGTCCACGGTATGTCTCTGCTTCCCCCAGGGTGCTTGCTACTCTGGCCGAGAATTCTTCAAGCCACGTGTCCTCGGTTTCGACCCCATCCCACCCTGGCCCTATGCCACGTCCCGCTCATTCATGCCCTCGGGCCCCTATATGGCCTTCCTTTCCTCTGGGGCGCAGATTCCCCCTCTGGATCTTGACTTGTCTCTGGTCCACAAGATGCCCCCCGAAGCCCGTATACCCCTGGAGTTCTGTCCACCCCTTGAAGGCAACTGGACTTCCATTGAAGATGCAGAAGGTTCTGCTTATGGCGGGCGATTCTCTTGGCGAGTGCTTGACACCTGCAGGTCTGTGCCGAAGCACGCGCTTACTAGTACCGACTCAGAGTTTGCAGCCCTTCTCTGGGTCTCGTTCTATCTTCTCTCGTTGCCTCACCCTTTGCCGGTACGTGTTTAAAATGACAAATCACATGCATCGCGCACACTCCAAGGGTTGGCGGGCCCTGGCCCCGATGACCCTCTTGCGAGGATCACCGCCTCCCTTTGGTCAGTACTCTCCGCCCGCAGGACGTGCAGAATTTCACACGCGAAGGGGCATTCAGGGCATCCTTGGAATGAGTCGATTGACTTCTTTGCTAGACATACTATGTATAGGGTGGTGGTACCGACCCCTCTTCCCGACAGATTGGATGATGCCACCCTCTTCCATCGGGGTCGCGAGTAGGAGCGGGCGCATGGGCTCTAGGGTGAAGATAATAATGCCTTCCCGAGCTGCCATCAGCGTGCTCAGATAACCATGCCCTCTTGAAAGGCCGTGAGTCATCATATCACAGGCCTGGTTAGTAAGACGATAGTTGAGACCAAGGACACGAAGCTTCTCTTCCTGCTGCGCAATACAACATCAAGTCTACACCGACCGAAAAAAAGTGTTGGGGGCTCGGGGGCGTGAGCGGCGTGAACGTAACAAATCGCTTCGGGTCTACTTCGCCAGCTGGTAGGCATCCAGGAGGCTAGGAACCCTGTGGGCACTCGTGCTGCCGATGAGTTCCAAGTCATTTTCTCGGGTACCGCCTCCGACAATGAAATGGGAGGCCTTGGCGCTGAGCTGCGGATTCATCGCAAAAGGCCTTACGCTTCCGTGGGTAAGAGAGAACTGCTCGCTTCCCTTTCTCAGTTCAAAAGTCTCTTTGCCTCCCTAAGGGTGTTGATTGTGTTCGGGTCCACGCCCTCTCTTTCTATGGTCATTGCTGTCTTTCGCGCCCCCAAAAGCAAAGCCCCTCCCCCCCAAGAAAAAGAAGCGTTATGATCCTTACTCGGTGAGCTGTTTCTGACGTGGGAGCCCCAGCTTGTCATGGCCGACGCCAATGCTGGTTTGGGTTATACGTTATCTGGCGTTTTAGGGGATGCGGGGTTTGCCCCTGTCAAAAAGGCCTGAATTAAACCAGCGGGTAAATCGACATCCAAAAACTATGTCCGCAGCACCGACAAGATCCTGAGAGTCCGGCTGTTCCAGCTCTGCAAAAACTTCTTGGCATCTGCTCTGCCAAGTGACAGTGTCCGAGGCTATCCCTTCACACCCAGAGACAAAATCTAGGTGATCCTGGGGAACGCTCCAGAGGCGCACTCCTTTCTTGGCCCACTTATCCGCGAGAGCGCTACCTTTAATCAGCCATTCCTCATAATCCGAGGTGGCGGCACCTAGGCCCCTGTGAGCCTCAACTTTACAAACCGCGGCCAGTCTGCCGATGCCGCTCCACCAATCAACCCACATGTGACGACGAGGGTCGGAGGCCGAGAGGGCAATACTATAATATGTGGCACAACCTAACGTGCCTGCACTATGCACGTGGACTTGCAGCGGGTAGTCTGATGGCCATTCGCTGGACTGCGAGAGCATTCGGAAACCCCAGTCCTCCCCATCTAGAGCCGCCTGTCCTGGAGCCGCGCGGAGCAGCGCGGCGCCGTGCATGGCGCCGACCAGGTCACCAGCTGGTCGATCTGAACTACCGACCACCCTGCACGACTGAATCCCTGAAAATGGGAGTGGAAGGCCGAGCCGTCCACGAAGACAGCGCCGGAAAATCTCCACCCTGGAAGGACACCAACAAACCGGAGCTGATCCTCCAGAGGAGCCTCCTTGCAAGGGAAGCAGAAAGAAGGGGTGGGACAGAGGCGTCTTGCCATAAGCTCACCAGCTTCCTCTCCTATCTGCTTTGCATACTGCGCGGCCTGCAAGACATGCTGCGGACACTCTTCACGCCTGACATGAAGACACCTGGGGTAATCATGCAAGCGGTGCCACAAGGTGCCTCTCGCGCCACAGTGGACGCAGGCATCAGACTGAGCCGCGCCCTTGGAGCACAACCTAGCTTGAGGCCAATGGGATCCACCGACCAGGCTCCGAATGGCAGCAGCACGGCGCTGCGACCAGCTGTCATCAAAGCCCTTGTCGATGAGACGAGCGAAGGGAGTCCAAGCGAGAGGGGGGGCCCAGGGCGCTTGGAGTCTCTCCATCGCCACAATGTCCGCAGCCTGTAGCGCCCGAGGGCTGACAAGATCAACAAAGAATGCGAGAGGGAAATCAGCAACTTGGAACTCCCCAAGTCTGGGGTGCCAGAGAACATCGGCAGCGGGCAAAGTACAACCAATCCTGGCGAGAGACAGCACAGCGGCCTGAGACGGGTCAGCCACTTGAGACCAAGGCCTCTTTCTCCAGTAGACAGTGCGCTTCCTGCAGGCAAGCCTGAAGCGGACCAAGTCCTGGCAAGACAGACTGCACACTCAATGCCCAATGATTGATCGCGTCACAGACGACAACAACCGAGGGATCTCTGGCGGCCCCTCTGGGGGTGACCCCTCGCGGGGTGACCCGCAACCTGAGAGAGACCGATGTGCCTGGTGGAACGCGACCCTCCCCTCTCAGAGTGGCTAGCCCGGGAACGGCAAGCTTCGCGTCAGCTACGCCCGTGACAGCCGCCGCCCACACCGCCGTCGCCGTAGGAGAGCCTCCCACGATCGTGCCGACGCTTGCCCCCGCTTCCCCCAGGGCAAAAACTCGCGAAGATGCAGAGGCAGCTTTGGCCGATCGTTTGCGTTGCTCCATGACACTGCGGGCAGCACCACTGTTGGTATCTGCGCCAAGAACCCTTCCGCTGCTGAGCCTTTGCTCATAGCGGAGGCCCCCCTCTGGTCGAGGTCATCATCTAAGTCCGTCGAGCTAGTCACGTAGCCAGTTTTGCCTCAGTTGCCAACTAGATGTCGGCGCTGCAACGCGGCCACTAGATCAGACATGGCTTGTGGGAACTGCCCAAGCTTATGTTTTTTCTGTTTTCCCTACCGAGGCTCTGCCTAGAAGGGTTCTTACTCTCTAGCTTAAAGGGGCCAGGCAGTGGAAAGCGCCCCGGGCGGCCCCCCCAGCCCCCGCCCCGCGGTTCCCCCCAGTCCCCTGGGAGCTTTAGTTTTAGCGTTAGCTTTAGCTTTAGCTTTAGCTTTAGCTTTAGCTTTAGCTTAAGCTTAGCTTTAGCTTAGCTGTAGCTTAGCTTTAGCTTAGCGTTCCGCTTAGCTTTTCGCTTAGCGTTTAGCTTAGCTTCAGCTTAGCTTTAGCTTAGCTTTAGATTAGCTTGAGCTTAGCTGCAGCTTAGCTTTAGCTTAGCTTCAGCTTAGCTTTAGCTTAGCTTTAGCTTAGCTGCAGCTTAGCTTTAGCTTAGCTGCTGCTTTGCTTTAGCTTAGCTTTAGCGTAGCTGCAGCTTAGCTTTAGCTTAGCTTCAGCTTAGCTTCAGCTTAGCTTTAGCTTAACTTTAGCTTAGCTGCGGCTTAGCTTTAGCTTAGCTTTAGCTTTAGCTTAGCGTTACTGTTACTACTAATGCTGCTGTCCTAGGGGTTCGAACTCCTAGGTAGGGTCGCACTGGGATTTCTCAAAATAATAATAATAATAATAATACCAATGTATATATATATATATATATAAACTTCTGAAACCTGACCGCTGGATATCTACGTTGGGGAGAGACAGTGACAACGCGAACATAAAGCTTGGCCAGAGCTAGCGCGCAGCTGCACCCAGCCGCGACATTGCCATTAGCTCTGACTGCGCCTGATATGGCAGCCTTCCAGCGAGCGCGCCAGGGCAAACGATGGCCTGCACAGAGACATTTGAGAAGCTGCATCGGAAACCCCGTGGCCAGGCCTCCCGCAGCGAGCCCCCGTGACAAATGTGCTTGTAAAATGCGCTTAAATCAAGCAGCCCACCGATGGCGGCAAAGCCTTTGAGCCTCGCAACCCCTTGTACTACGCCATGGACATGGCCTGCCACATCGCAGGTTAACGAGGCCAGCCCCACCCCACAAAGCCAAATTGCTGAGCGAGAGCTCCCAATTTCTGGCCACAGGTCGCCGATGACGGGACCAGATTCTACCCCAGACCGGGGCCCGGACAATCGGCCGAACTCCCGGGGCAAGGCCAGGCTCGCCCAAAAAGAGAACCAACAGGGTCCAGAGCCAAATCTTCTGCATCCTGCTCGCAGCTCCTTAAGATATCCAGGAACGTTTGCTCGTAACTATCAGAGAGCCACGACGCATGGCGCGGATGCAAGTGGCTCCGCCCTGGCCCGCACGAGCCAGAGTAGGGCGACGAGACTTCATTGAGCTGCGCGGCGGTGACCCTCGGAAGCGGCGCCCAGGGGCCCAGCCCACCAGGAACCAGAGGGCCCAGAGGCGGAACCGAGGCCTCGGAAGGCCTGGATGGGGCCCACCCCAGGACCCCAGCCCCTAGGGACAACTTCACCATCACGCTTGGGAGCGTTCCACAACGGCCCCCACTATTCGAGCAGCCGATCGACTGCTCGCTGACCTTCAACAGGGAGCGACGGCAAGACGCCCGCGCCTTCTGTGTAGATCTGAATCGCTGGCAGAGGCTCTCTCGCAAAACAGTAAGCAGCCCTCCCCCCCTCGATATTTGGCCGTAGCTTTATCCCAAGCCTTCCAGGCCGATGCGCTTGCAGCTCCTTCTTCACTCGGGAGGCGAGGGAGGCAACCCCTCAAACCCAGGAAGAACCCCAGAGCCCCGCCCCCACCATCAATTACGAGCTGCACTAAATCATTCCTGAAATAGCTGCTCCACTGCACCAGGTTGGAGCCCCGAGGCCAGGCTGGCAAAGCAACGCGCATCACTGTGGGAGCCTGCCTACGCTGGGCAGCCAGCGCCTTGAAGCCTTTCGCTCGGGACTCAGAGCTGAGAAAGAAGTCCACCTCCTTCCTTCGACCGAAGAGACCTGTCTGAGATCACTCTGCCAGGCGCAGTCTACTGCTACATGTCGCACCCGAAGACCATCAGCTCGTCCTGCGTAGGCCGCGGAGCACCGAGCGGATACGTCATGAAAGTCCAGGAGGTACTCCTCAACATTGCGAAATCAAAGTTGACAGGCCGCGTGGAGATCAGTGGGCAGTTCAACTCCTAGGTCTCCATGTCCAGCTGCTGAGTGACCGTTATGTTGGCGCTGGCCGAACAGGAACTGATTTACCAATCGGGAACTTCATGGGCAGGAGGGCTTCGGGCACCTTGGCCTCCACTGAGAGACAATTGAGCAGCAGACCGACAGGGAGGTGAGCGCGCGCTGGCGCTCCAGATATGCCCTTGATGATGGAAACGAGAGGCGTGAGAACCCTGCTGCACACACACACAGAAATCCAATCCCAGAGCTCCAACGGTAGGCTCACCTGAATACACCACATCTGCCTTGGCCTTACCAGCCCACTTCTGCCATGCCCTCTGGGACTAGATTCCAGTCTGCTCCAATGATCCACGGGAACGGCAGTGAGCCCACAGCCTGGAAGAGACTGCCAAGTAGATCAATGTTGGCCCCCGCGAGCCCCATGCTGGTATGCAGGTACACTGAAAGCATAACAACAGGGATGGGTAGGCCGATGTTGACTGTCATGGCCGCAACTCTAAAATCCGAAAGGGATCTTCGAGCCATATGCAAAGGATCCGCTGGAAACTTGCTGAGAACTGCACAACCTGCACTCGACCCGTGGGCCCCTCGCCTGTGCTATCCGCCAGCGGCATGGAGACCTTGAAGCCTCTCTAGGTGCACCACTTGCTGGCACTTGCCCGCCGAAATGCATCCTTGAGACGGTGCTCTTGAAGGAACACAATGGCGGGAAGACGGTTTAGCTCCTCACCTTGAAGATCATGTCTGGCCCACCCCAGCATGACCTGAGCGGAAGTCCAGGCCCCTGGGTTGAGCGTCCATATGCGCAGGTTTGGCGACAATTTGCTGCCCCAACTTCTGTCTCTTGCCGTGGGCAGCAATGTCGGCCAGGAAGCGCTTGAGCTGTTCAGGGTCATCCGCTGCAGCCACTCCTGCGACTTTGAGCTTGTCTCGAAGCTCGTCGTCCTCATGGTCGAAGCCCATGGGCCCCGCACTGGCTGGATCCCCGACGAGAGGAGCTTCAGACTGAGAAGCCCCAGGACCGTCAGGCGGGGAAGCAGCGTCTGCGGTGGGCGGTTTCGGCAGCTGCGCCTTGAGCTCCTCCTTCTTGGCGGTGGCCGCCTAGAGCAGCTCTGCGGCATCCAGCCCGAAGCGTTCTGCGTACTTCCGCACCGCTTTGTCCAGGACCTCGAGCATCGCAAGCTCCTGAGCAGGATTGACTTCGTCTAGTCCAGATGGCGGCTCCGGGAGCACCGACTTGGACTGAGCTTCCTTGATGTAGAACTCGATTTGGCCAAGGGTGTCCTAGTGGGCCTTGTACTGCGCGAGCTCCGTCTCGTAGAGCCGCTGCGCCTCCTGCAGCGCCTCCTTCGCCTCCTTGACCCTCTCCTCGGACTTCTCAATATGCTTCTTCTTCTTCTTCTGAATGCGCCTCTGGAGATCCTGCGAGCTCTTGACGCTGAGGTCGGCTGGCGCAGGCGCCTCATCCTTTTCCTTGAACATGTCCTGCAGCTGTGACTCCAGCTCAGAGCCTTCCTTGAGACATTTTCCCTTAAGCAATTCGGAAAGATCTTCATTGGACAAGGCTGCCGCGGCAGCTGCCTTCCCCACCTTGCCTCCGCCGCCACCTTCCCCCCCCCCATCTTGGGCGAGCCGCGGAGGTCCACTGAGCCAGCGGTTGGGGGCGGGCGGCGCTCTGGCAGTCTGCTTGACACGAAGCTGGTTGAGAACATGCTGCGGTGCCTTCGCGGCGCCACCATCCCGACAGCTCGACCTGAAGGGAAGGTTGTCGAACGCGCATCTCGTGTTGCGGCAACGCCGCGTGGCTGGGCCTTGGGCTGCCTGCCACGGAGGCCCATTGCCACCTCGATTCGTGGAAGCATTGGGATGGCTCGGTCCAGCTGGCGCCACTTCCAAGTGCGCTGGACCAAAGGTTCGCAATTCAGCTCGAAACCTCGAAATGGCTAGGCTGGGGAAGAGGAGAGGGTCGAGGAGGAGAAGGAGGTCGGCAGGAACACGAGGAGGAGGAATCGAGGAGGAGGAGGAGGAGGTCGGCAGGAACAAAAATGAATCGAGGAGGCCGAAGAGCAGGGGCACCTGCCGGCCGGATGAGCCGCATCCGTTTTCGGGGAAGGCCCAAGGCCGCGCTGACGGCGATGTTGACCAACGGCGACGTTGGGAACCTGGCTTTTGCGACGCCGCACTCGCGTAGAACAAATTGTAGGAAATCACGAACCACACTTCCCTACGGCTCCCAAACGCGACTGGGTCGAGCGAGGACGTCACGGCGACTTGTAGGAGAAGACAAACAGCGCTTTCCTACAACGAGGCTGGCCACGAACCACCCCCACCCACAACACCGAAACCTACCTCGCCATGACCTCCGTTGCCGTTAGCATTTCTGCGGAAGGCCCAGCAAGCTTCCCGGAAGACCAGAGGGCTTCTGAGAGGCCCCGTCGCCTTCCGAGCAGGCCTGCCCCCCTCTAACTTCTCCCCCGGCGTCGCCGCCGACTCTCGCGCCAGACGGACCCTGACATCCTCGCGCCGTGAGTAAAATGCTGCACGTCCCCACTCTCATCGCTCTCCCCACTCCCCAGAATCTGCCCATCCCCATTCTTAATGTTCTCCTTGTTCCATCGCTCTCCCCCCTCCCTGTCCTCATCGCTCTCCCCCCTCCCCAGTATAAATATCCTCCTCATTCCCCTCCCCAGGACCTCCAAGACCCATCCCACGAAAGAATATGGCATCAAAAGGAAGATTTCCAAGAACCGAACCCTTACTCTTTCTCGCCTTTCCGTTTCCGCCCCTCCTCCTCCTCCTCCTCCTCCTCCTCCTCCTCCTCCTTCCACTCCTCCGTCCGCCTCCTTTCCCCCTCCGTTCCCCCCTCCTCCTCCTCGTCATCATCATCATCATCAGCAGCATCATCATCGTTATCATCAGCATCATCAGCATCATCATTATCATCAGCATCATCATCATCAGCAGCAGCATCATCAGTATCCTCATCCTCATCATCGTCGTCATCATCATCAGTATCATCGGCATCAGCATCATCATCAGCATCATCACCATCACCATCACCATCGTCATCATCATCAGCAGCATTATCATAATCAGCAGCAGCAACAACATCATCACGATCATCATCATCACCATCAGCAGTAGCAAAATCATCGTCATTATCATAATCCTCATGATCATCCTCATTATCATCACCATCCTCATCCTCATCATCTTCCTCCTGATCCTCATCCTCGTCCTCATCCTCGTCCTCATCCTCATCATCCCGATCATCCTCATCATCCTCGTGATCAGTCTCATCAGATCCGTCATTTCCAGCAGCAGCATCATCATCATCGGCAGCAGCATCCGCAGCAGCATCAGCAGCAGCATCATCATCACCGCCACCACCACCACCACCATCATCATCATCGGCAGCATCAGCAGCATCATCATCATTCCCCTCCTCCACCTCATCCTCCTT